ATGTGTGTGTGGATACAAATGCATGTACATACACATATATACATATATATATATATATATATATATATATATATATATATATATATATATATATATACATATACATACATACATACATACATACATACATATATATATAACATATATATATACATACATATATACATTCATATAGAAGTACATAAATATATACATACATGCATACATAAAAATGGAGACAAGAAGGCACAACACATACAAACTCACAGGCACAAATGACAGTAGCTCTTGATATTTCTTCGTATTATAAGTACTTGTTTTTGATTCCTTAATAAGTAAAAGTAAATATTTTCTGAAAGCCTTTGAATAATTCTAACAGTATTATGTAATTAAGCCAAATTCAAGTTTAGTCACTATTAACCCGTTGGATCCAGATGCGTCATGCAAAAAACAGTTCCAAAAATACAGGCAGTACGGTACATAAGTGGCCAATATCCCGGGTGTGCAGCGTGTAGGCCAGGCGTGTACGAACACTCGTGAGCTGTGACAAGACTCTGTGCCTCCCCTTTGCAAACTTATTTTTTGTAAACTTTTTTTTACTTTTTTGTCATCTTCCAATGTCTATATTTGTCTTTTGATTTGCTTTATCCAGATGGTAATGGAATATTTTCCATGTCATCTCTCTATGTAGTAAATAACTCAGTGCTAGAAAAAACAAAAGCAAAAAAAATTGGTTATTTGTGTCATATATCTTATTTTTTCATAATTTTCAATTTTCCTTAATACAACCTGTGCTGCCGGTCACAGTGGCCAGGAATACGATGCTGAACATGGAAATGGCATCCACTCTGGAACATGCGCTCTTCCAGTCATGGCTTACGCACATTACATTCCATATTCATTTATCGATAAGAATAATGCAAACACCCCTCTTTTTTTTTTTTTCGATTTTTCGATTTTTTTTTTTGATGAAACTCACACCCTTTTATTTGGGCCCCTTCCCATTGCCTGTGGTCGATTTTTTTCGAAATCGCCCGAACAGTTTTTGAATTATTGTCAAAAAACGAAAAAATGAGAAAATCGCCATGTTGAAAATGTAGCACCTGGGTCAAAGGATTCCGACTTCAGAAACGACAAGACATTCAATTTTATTTGATTTTTGCACAGAAGTATATCTACAACTTGTCGAGAGCGTTTTTTTCCGATTTCGACTTCATTTTTTTTTTTTTTTGTGTGAATTTTTGAAGTAGGGGACTTCAAGAAAAAAAAAAAAAGGTAAAAATTTTCTTACATTGACCACTTTTACAAGAAGTACAGGCAAAAATTGCGAAAACGCTCTCGAACAAGTTGCAGATATTTTATTTTTCTACAAAATGAGCCATATATTAATTTTGGACATATTGTGCCGGAATCCTTTGACCCAGCCCTAAGTGGAGTTCCGAAATGTCGGCATTTTACGTTTCTTCCATCTTGATATCAACAAAACAAGGTATAAGAAGATTAGTCTTCCTACACTATAATCCTCTATCATCTACCTGCATTCCAAAGTCATGCGGACATTGCCAGCACGTAACAGATTCTCAAAATCTTACGTATAGTGCGCAGAGTGGGCAGTGATCTGGGGGTCTATAGGCCTACATTGACCATTTTTTAAAAATTCTCAAAAATCCCCAAAAAATCATACAGCCATTCTGTTTGAATAGAACTATCTACTATAATATGCAGAAGCCATTTTTGAGAAGTTGACCTTACTTTTTTCTTTGGTGAATATTTTCGAAGTGACTATTTTAACACCCTAATAGGAGATTTTGAAAACATATGTCACTTTTACAAGAACCACATGAAAATATTGCAAATCCTTATGGCAGTATGTAATAGAAATATTATTCAGCTACAAAATGAGCCATAATACTTTAAAATTGGACCGAAAATACATGTGCTATGCGTGAAAATATGACGGACCTAATAATCGCGATCTTATTCCTTTTTATTATGTTTACATTTTACATGACAAATCATGTACAGAATACTTGTATTTGATAAAATTATCTATCATTTACTCATTATTGATGTTCTAATGGGGTTTTACAACGTATAATATTTGTCGAAAGAATAACTTTTCTCCAGTCGGGTACCAAACGCATACTTTTCCCCGCGCGGCCGCTCTTTTAAAATCTGCGGAATAACTCTACGGGGTCACGTAGCCAAATTTCACTCTCAGACCCCGTGGAAAGACGAAAAACAATTACATGGCGATGTGAAAGTATGTATATAAGGTATATGAGCATATATAGATAATTTTCGTGTACTCCATGACCTTTTGTTGATTTATATTATTACTTCTGTTTGTTTCTTTGTTTGTTTGTTGTTTTTTTGTTTGTTAGTTTGTGTTTTCTAATATATCTAAAAGTTATCAACACATTTTAACGAGATTTTAACCAAAGGTGAGTTTTAACCTAACTTAGACGCTTATTGCAGTTTGGTGGTAATGCAGACCATGGTTTGGATCCAGGAATTTTTTTTTTCTAACTCGAAAAATTATGAACAGATTTGAATAAAATTTTTACCAGAGGTTTGTCTTAGCCTAATTAATATTCCATAAAATTTTGGTGGTGACCCGGAACATTTGGCAAAACTACCTCCGCATGGGGAGGGGGGGAGGTTTGCATTTTCAAAATGTTTTGCTCATAGATCAAACTATGTATGATGAAAACATAAAGAAAGGAAAATACACCATATGAATAACATATCATGTTTAGTTATTTGTATGGAAAATTTCTTCATTGTCATTTTTTGGACGCTTGCCGGATTTTCAAAATTCTTCCGAAAAAAGAAGGTTGGTCTCATCTTATGTGAAATTTGATAAGCTTTCAGAAAATAACCTCATTTTTTAATTATCTCTAATCATTGCGTCACAACTGCCAATTTTCTAAGGTAACATTAAAAAAATAATATTTCAGTCGACATCGAAAATGCTACCACCTAAAAAATAACGGTCGGGCGTTGAAATTTTCAGGGGAGAACCGGGGGCCTAGAAACTCCTTGAAAATGCATTAAAGTCAATTTCGGCAAGAGGGGCGAAAATCGCCAAAAAATCACCAGACGGTCTCCTTAAGTGCCAAATGAGTCTAATCACACTCCAAGAGGTTTGTACAATTGTTGCTAGCCTTTTCCATCACCCAGGCCATTTTATTTGATGATGGCATGCTCATGTTACCTGGCCCTCGGCCCAGATTTTTCCATGACAGAATTATCACCTCACCTGCATTGTAGGGGTTAAGAAATACATCCATGGTAACTGTTCATACATCATGCATCATAATACCTAATATAACTATTGTTACGCATTTGTTGTTTCTGCAGTTGCTGTGTATGAGAGTAGTGTGCAATTATAAGAAAACATTCCAGAAGTATTCCACCTAATGAAAGCATCTCAGCTAGGGTCCAAAGAACAAACTTGTTTTTACCTAACTCTTTAGCAGTCCTGTAAGGATATACTATATGGGGTCAGAGTTAAAAACCACAGTATTGAATTACTAAAGAAAATAGTTTTCTGCTTATGGATGGAGCTCTTTTGGTTTATAATGTTGCCTTAAATCATCTTGGGTACTAAATGTTGCCTTAAATCATCTCATATCATTTGTCATCAATAAGATTCCTACTTGATGGCAACAAAAGACTGCCCGTTGTCATCCCAAATTGAGAAAAGATTTTCATATTCTCTTTGATACTAATATAGGCAAAAATATTGCTAACTTGAAACACCAATATTTGATGAAAGTAATGAGAGCAAGAACATGATTTGTGACACTGCTAATCAGAAGTGATAACTGCATTAGCAATATTTGTTTAGAGTATGATGGTAATAGCATTCATAATAGGATATGTGTTGTTGTTGATCAATTTCCCCATATCATAAACATTGAAAGAAAATCACTTATTGGACAATATATGTCAATGTTTCTCAAATAGGTGGCTTTTGAGCTTCATAAGAGAGCTGTCGGTTCATTTTGGGCATGAATCTGTCACCATTGCAGAAATAGCAGATTTCCTGTATCAATGTATCAGATTGAATAATGAAGTTCCCAGGCATTAAATAGTTAAAGAGACAATAGATAATATTGAATGTACTTACTATAAATTGTCATTATGTAATTAAAACAATGTATTTAGATTTTAAAAAGACAAAAGAGGATATTTGATGTCGTTAATCTAAATATTTAGTATGTAGTTGATCCAGACATACATGCCTGGTGAAGGAATAAGAGCAGATCCCTTGGGCCAACCCTCAGAATAACACAGAACAATAATAGTAATAAAGTCTCCCAAATAATCTCACATTTCTTCCAGGTGTTACTTGTAAGTGTATTTATCTTTTTATTTATTTATTTATTTATTTATTTATTTTTTTTTTATTTATTTATTATTATTTTTTTTTGACTCATTGTCAACACACTTTTATAGATGGTTATTTTTCTTACTAGTTTCAACTTTATTGTTTTGTATTTCATTACGTATTCACTTTTTGATCATGTATATTTCAGAGGTATTTTAAAAATATATATTTTTTTCATATCTTATTTGGTGTGTGCTAAGCATTCGAGATTGGTAGAAATGATAGTTATTTAAAATGAATGTAATAGTGAATATTTTGATTAACAAACTTGTTTGATCATCAGGTGATTAAAGGCAATTTATATAGAAACCTAGCTAAATTATCCATCCTTGTGTAAGGCCTGGCTCTTATGATGTCCAAATATTACAGTGCTTAATCATATGATTTCAGTAAGCAGGTGAGTTATTGATAAATGGATAATTTTTGGCTTTGAAAGAAATATTTACAATTTATCAGTTGAAGTATTTATTTATGATAGGGTAAATAAACATTATTTTAAGAAATAAAATAAACTTCCCATTTCTTGAGGGAGTTACATGCTATTTTTCCTACTTTTTTATTTAGTTATTTGTTTTTTAGTATAAGCCTGTGACACAAGATATCATATATTTTTACACATTTTCAG